AATATATTCATTAGTACCCCTTTATCCTTCTCTTCCCTATTTTTTAATCTTATATATATGGATGGATATCAATTATAGATTTGTTATGCATTTATTAAATAATTTTATGTATTGGAGGATTGTCACTTCGTGGTTAGGGACATTGACCCTGGTTAAAATAGAAAATAGTTCAGTTTAGTTTGTTAGGTCAAATTCTTTGGTTAATACTTGTATCATGTATAAATTGTGGATCTGTTACTTGCATTTTAATTTGATTATTTTCGGTGAATATACTTTTTAAAATTGTGATATTGACTAAATCACACGACTTAAAATAATTAAATCGAAGAACACGAACTAAATCTACAACTAATAGTAATGTAAGCACAAATGACATAATTTGGTTTGAGGGATTTTTTAACTCAGTCAAAATCATCAATATTGTCCCTCATTTTTAATAGGATCAATGTTTACCTCGAACTCTTAAACCGTACTAATAATGTCTTTTAACCGACTGTAATCATTGTTGGCTAGTACAATGTTAACGTGACACTTAACTTTGTTGACATGATTCATCGTATTGATATGGTGATCTATTATGATGTGGTAGTCTACATGTGAATGATGACGTGACAGATGAGCATAATTGTTTTTTAAAAAATTAAGGACTTAATTGATATTTTAAAAAAGTTTGGGCATTTTAAAAATTATAAGACTAAATTATTTATTTTTAGAAATTTATTTTAAAAAAGAGGAATAATATTGATAATTTGATTTGAGTAGGAGGGAAAATACCCCTTAAATGGAAGTACATGGATATCCCATAACTCATGCACGGTACAACTATTAATAACAGAAATCAACTTTTTCAATACAAAACTTTTAGTATAATACAACAGGGGAAGAGGTCTTTCGGAATGGGGTAATTTAGGTAGGCAGTAGGGTCAGCATCTATACCATTTTGATAAGCTAGATCGTTAAATGTGCAAGTTGCCTTAAGCCATGCTTGAACAAAATCCTCTTTATGCATTAGAGCATCTTCAGAATTTCAACTCACTTTAGCTTTTAAGAAAAAATATCAACTACCATAATTCAATTCCTTCATATTATATCGAATCTGCTTTCAGCTTTATATAGAGTATTAATTATGACATATATAAGTATTGCATAAAAATTTGTATTTCTTAAAAGGTTGTATTTTGTTTAAATTTAATTATGACATATATATAAGTATATAATTATTTTAAAAAACTAATTTTTAAGACTTGAAAGTTTACATAAATTTATTTATTGTTCAAACATAATCCAACCATCCCAAAATAAAACACCAATGTGTGAAGACCAAAAAGCAAGCAACTTTTAGAGAGATATTTGCTAAACTTTGGCTTGGAGGGCACCAATTAGTGTCCAACTAAAACAACTATAGGTAAAGCTTACACGACCTAAATAATTAAAAAAGTACTATTATAGTAATAGTACGTCCATTGTATATTAATAAATAATTAATATGCAGTATGGATAATCTCATAGAAAGATTGGATAAGTTCAAATAACTAAATCATTTTTATTATTAGAGAAATGATCTGATCTAACACAACAAACACTTACTAGAAAAGTGACACATATATTTAGAGATGGATCGAAGGGGGCGGGTGGAGACAGATGCTCCCTGAAAATTTTAAAATTATCTTATATTTTAGATTTTTGATTGAAAAATCTGTTTTTGTCCTCTGGAATTTTATAAGTTTAAGTTCGTTCTTTAAAATTTTAAAAATTCAAATTTGTCCTCTAACATAAAATATTGTGTCCATCCTTACATATATTAATTAGAATTCATTAAAAAAAGCATGTGACAGTTTTTTCATTAGTTAAATCAATTCTAATTAAATTTTAATTGAATTAAAAGTTGTGAATTACAAAAGAAAAAAAAAGTTGTAGTAGCCGTGTATGAAAAACAAAATATTATTATTAATTAAGTGTGTATGGGTGGCAAAAGATGCGTGTAAAGCAGCAAAGATGGTTGGGCGGTGCAACATTCCAATGGTTGGTTGATTCCTTAGTGATTTTCCCTTTTTCATATTCTAATGTGTAGTTGTTTGGATGATGAGAAAATGAGAAAGAAACGTCACCTAGACATTTTGCTATTTCTTTTCTCAGTGCAATCTAAAGTGGGTTTCCACTAAGGGTGGCTCGTGTTGGCGTCACAATTTTTATGAGGATTCTAACCTCAAAATATTCATTCATCTTCTCCTTTACATAATTGGGTTCAAACTAGAATCACGAATAATAGTTCTTCAAAGCTCTTGGATCATATATCTTGTAAAATAGATTATAATACTCTTTGGTGTGCATCCAGGAATATAAAAATGGGGTTCACAAATTTTATTACTCTTTTTTTTTTAACAAAATAGATATGTTAAATTTCTTATTTTTTTTTCTCTTTCCCTTAATATATTGAACTATATTTAATAATTTACTCAATATAATGGTTGTACATTTGACCATTTAGAGAATCAAGTGCATCTGCGCCGGGTACTCTTAGATTATTGAAATCGAAAACTCAAATACTCTATTATCATGTTAATTATTTAATTTTATTGTTTTTTATTAGATTAAGTCTCCAAATTATTATATAGAATTACTTTAAGTATTTAAATTAATTTTATTGTTAAGATAAATATCTAAACTATATATGTTTTAATCAAAAAATAATGAAATTTAAAAATAGCTATGAAATAATAGTTTAAAAATTTATTTCGATAAAAACAATAGTTTATGCAATTAAAAGTTATATAATATAAGATATTTTACTTTAAACTTATTTATAAATCAAATTTAGTGAATACTTCTATTTTTTTATATAAAATTTGTTAGAAAAGTCAGCATGACAGGCTACTGAATTCCAAATTAGGCGGTTGAAGAGAATTCAAAGTTGGCTGTAAATTAGGGCGGCTGCAAATGTTCAAAGTGGGCAGTCAAAATTGTTGATATTTTAGGCATGGGAAAATTATTTTTAGTAACTATACTTTAGGGTATTTACAAGATTAGTCCTTAAGCTTCAACTATAAATACTCTAACTCATTCAGCTTCTAAATCATCCCAAATCATTCTAGCTCTCTCTTAAGTGTTTTTGTAAACACCTGCAAATTTTCTCCATTTAGTAAAAGATCTGCAGCAGACCGGAGACGTAGGCATAATTGGCTAAACTCCGTTATCAATTTTTTCTGCTTTTATTTCGCATTCTCACTAATCTGATTATAAGGAAATTACTCGTTTTATTTCCAAACAACTGGTATCAGAGCTTTTGGTTGTGAATTTTGTCAATTTTTCTGCGATGTTACTATTCATGTGAATAGTAAATTTTATGAATAGTGAAATTTGGTAACGATACGAGCTTGTTGACGAAGGTCTTCTAATACACGGTGGTTCGCATAAATTGTTAGAAACGGTCCAAACGAAGCCAGATTTGAGTGGGAGCGATGGTTGCAGACAAATGGAATGTGAAAATTGAGAAGTTTGATGATGTGCTCAAGACCTTATTGGAAGGACTTAGACCAGGGACAATGCTCGGGAAAGAGCAAGGTGATGCCCAGAGACTTTCGGAGGCCATAGTTGTAGCCGGAAAGCTAACTGAGCTTGCAGGTATCAAGCCAAGTAGCGATGTATCGTCCAGGCCCAGGCCCAGAGATAGTGGCAACAGTTGTGGAGACCGGGAAAAGGTGCAGCAAGAAAATGGTAGAGAAAGCTCTTCGAATGACCAAGGTGATCCATCGACTGTTCGTAGCCAAGGAAAGCCATCGGGAAAAAATGACAAGGCTAAGTTCGGTGCAAGGAAGAAGGTGAGCAAAGAAAAGTTGAAGTGTTACTTCTGTGATGGTTCTCACTTGATTAGAGGATGTCTCGAGAAGCGTCGCATTACAACCATCATGAAGAGGATGAGAGAAGGAGAAGTAACAGGAATTGGTGGAGGCACAAATGTTAAAGCTGCCAAGTCAATAAAAAGACTTGGTCCGATTGAGGGGATCAATGCGGCCAAGCAAAGATCAAGACGTGACGAGACTGCGGGTGTCAAAGCAGTCGAGCACAAGAAGGGACCCTGTGCGATAGCAAGAGATAAAGCCGTCAAGTTGAGGGTGCAAAGTGAACATGTTCGTTCACAATATGTCAGGATGAAAGCGTGGTCCAAGTTGAGGCGTCTCAGGCATAAAGGGGCACTTAAGGAGTATGTGACTCGATTCAGAAGACTTATGCTCAAAGTCCCAAGTTTGACAGAAGAATAATATAGGTTCTTCGCCTTCATGTTCGGATTGAAACCATGGGCGAAGAAAGTGTTGGAGCGAAGGGAAGTTAAGGAGTTGTCTAAAGCCTTGACAACTGTGGAGTTCATCAAATAATTTGGAGTCAGGAAAAACAAGACTTCCAAAACAAATCTGAAAGCTGAGAGTAACGACAAGAGATTCCATGATGAAGACAAGTCAGAGGATGAGAAATGTTGTTCCTCGAGTGGTAGAGAAAGTCCGCTCAATGATGAACCAGATGGTGGATCTAGAGAAGATGTGTGCAGTCTTGACACAAGTTCAAGTTTCAAAGATGCTAAGTTGAGGGTAAGAGTCGAGCAAACGAGGAGGCGCAAACTTAAGATGCCCGAAGTGTTGCAAAATTACCCGAGGGGAGCCTAGTCATCCAATGTGATGGATGGGCCCAGGATCGATTTATCCAGAGAAGAGGATGAACCCATGATCGAGGGGACGTTGAGAGTTGGCTCAATACGGTTCATTTCTGCCAAGGCAAGTAGAAGCCAAGTGCAGGAAGAGTTAGCCATGTCCAAGGAGTTTGCCGAGCATGTTCGAGTAGAGAACATGGCTTCAGAGACCATCTTAAGAGAAGGGTCGAAGCAGAGGCTTGAGGCTTGCTGAGGATGTTCAAGTGAGGAACAATCTTTCAAAGACTAGTGGACAAGAGTCGAAGGGAACCAAGACGTTGAAGGACAAGGCAACCACGGAGAAACTGCCCAATAACAAATGGGTTTACAGGGCGGTGACTACAGAAATAATGCTGCATTGATCAAGGTGTGAAGACAGATTAAAATCAGTCTTCAAGTGGAAGATTGTTGGAAAAGTCAACATGGAAGGTTACTGAATTCCAAATTAGGCGGCTGAAGAGAATTCAAAGTTGGCTGCAAATTGGGGCGGCTGCAAATGTTCAAAGTGGGCAGCCAAAATTGTTGATATTTTAGGCATAGGAAAATTATTTTTAGTCACTAGACTTTAGAGTATTTACAAGATTAGTCCTTAATATTCAACTATAAATACCCTAACCCATTTAGCTTCTAAATCATCCCCAAATCATTCTAGCTCTCTCTCAAGTGTTTTTGTAAATACCTAAAAATTTTCTCCCTTTATTAAAAGATATGCAGCAGTCCGGAGAAGTAGGCATAATTGACTGAACTTCATTATCAATTTCAGGTATTATTTTTTCGCATTTATTTCGCATTCTTGTTAATCTGGTTATAGGGAAATTACTCGTTTTATTTCCCAACAAAATTGACTTTATAACCCATATTAGTTTCGGATACAATGTGAAGAAAAATATATTTTGATGGTTTGCTAATATAATATAGCATTTTCGTGTCTGGTTTTGCACACTTTTCAATCATCGTTCATGTCATGAAGCGTTATTATTATTATTTTTTGAATAATTAATAATACACTCTTTATGGAATGGTGATAATATTTTCGTGTATTTAATTTAGGGTTGGTAATTATCAATGGGTGAGTGGATTATCCACCAACCCGCCCTGAATAAATGGATGAAAACCCGCTGTGAAATGGATGATTGGCGGGTGATGGGTCAGGTCGGATATGGATGAAATTTTTTTGACCTATCATCCGCAGCATCCATCCACCCATTAATATATCTATCTATCCATCCATCCATATATTATATATATATTAAAAAATAAACGGATGATTGTCACATGACTAGGTTTGAAAGAATGAAAGCCCTAATTTTAATCTTTTATCTTTTCATTTTGTTGCCTTAATGCCTTTAGCTGCCTCTCTCCTCTGGTTAGCTTCACTTTACCAAGTTTGAAACTTGATATTCTCAAGCTTCAGTGCTTCACTTCCTCAACACATTCATGTAAGTTCTCTTATCTTTTATTAATTCACTTGAGTTTAATCTGTAATTTTATATTCATGTAAGTTCGATCTGCAATTGTTTAGTAATTAGTTTGAGTTTTGTTTTTGGTTTTTTTAGTAATGGATATGGGAGATACATCAGATAGTAGCACCTCAAAATCCTATGACATCTCTCTTTTAACTCAAGGCTCATCTCCTAACATCCATAATCTCATATCATCTTCATCTCCAACTCCTAGTGTAAGCCTAAACCGAAACTAGTTGAGGAGGTACATGAAACTGCAGCAAAAGTGGCTCCAGATGATGCTCAAAACAAATCCTCAATGGCCACCATGGGTCCACCTCAAATACCACCTCGTATTTCCAGAAAACTTACATCACCAGTTTGGATTCACTTCGAGAAGGTGACAGTGAATGGTGAAGAGAAAGCGAAATGTGTGTATTGTAGCCGATATTACTCTGCCAAAGGCAAAAATGGTACCTCTCATCTGAAAGATCACATTGAACTAAGGTGCAGTAGAAAGCATAGTGAACATGTTGATTTGCGCCAAAAACTATTGTCTATCAATCGTAAACAAAATTCAACATCGCAACTTGAGAACCATGTGTTTTCTCAAGAGGCATCATGAAAGGAGCTCGCTAACATGGTTTTTCTACATGAATATCCATTGTCCATTGTTAATCATATTGGGTTTCGAAGATTCGTCAATAGCTTGAATCCAAGCTTTAAGATAACTACCCGTAATACCTTGAAAAGCGACATCATGAAGATGTTTAACAGTGAGAAAGCAAGCTTGAAGAAGCTCTTTGATGGTCATGTTGGAAAAGTGGCTATTACTAGTGATATGTGGACAACGTCGAATCAGAAAAAGGGACACATGGTTGTTACATCATATTTCATTGACGATCATTGGATTTTGCGGAACAATACTTTGAGATATACATTTTCTATAGTTTATGTCTTATAGTGGTTTTGCTTCTTTTCATGTTTGCGGATGTGATATAATTTTATTCAGTAAACGCTCGACAACGTTGATAATTGGCTGCAACTTCTAATGGCATACATTTTAGCTAAAATATTGGCTACAACAGTAGACTATCATAATGCTTAAGTGAATTAGGTCTTAATTTAATAACTCTAATTACCCAAAAAAATTAACATGGGTCACTGAATTAATTATCTATATTGGCTACAACAGTAGACTATCATGTAATATAATTAATTGGCTACAACTTCTAATGGTGAATAAGATAGTTTCTCGTAAATTAACAGTAGACATTCACTATTATTCTAACATAGTTGGTGCTTTTAGGAATAGGATTACATTATATTATTATGCTATTTTTACTCTTATAAATATTGCAGTCAATCACTATTGTTCTAAAATACTATATTTGTTTCATTGAGTCACAACTGATTTGTATTTTTTATTTGTTAAATCCATAGGTTTGTTTATGTCCCTTTTCCACATACTGTCAATATGCTTGCCCAAGTTTTGGTGGATACTTTGAATATGTATAATATAGCTGAGAAAGTTTCTTTTGTGGTTCTTGATAATTGTTTGACAAATGATGCAATGATTGATGTTTTACAAGAGAGATTTGATTCTGATAGTTTGTTGTTGGATGGTGAGTTTTTACATTTGCATTGTAGTGCACATATACTAAATCTCATTGTGCAAGATGGTCTGCAAGTAATTGCTGGTGGAATTGAAAAGATTCGTAATTGTGTTGTATTTTGGACAGCCACTCCTAGTAGAGTTCAAAAGTTTGAGGATAAGGCTAGAGCCTCGAAAATTGATTATTCTAGAAAGTTGTAACTTGATTGTAAAACTAGGTGGAATTCGACCTATTTGATGCTTGTTAGTGCTATGCCATATAGGAATGTCTTTGGTAACTTGAAAACTCAAAACCCCAGGTTTAAGTTTATTGTTCATACTCCACGTGATTGGGAGTTGGCGGAAATAATATGTGATAAGTTAAAGAGGTTTCACAAAATCACTGAGTTGTTCTCTGATAGGAAATATCCTATTGTCAATTTGTTTTTTCGACAAGTATGTGAGATTAAAATGGCATTGAAGAAGTGGCAAGATAGTGAAGAATAACAACTTATTAAGGATATGGCTGAAAAAATGATAGAGAAGTTCGGCAAGTATTGGGTAAGTACCAATGGAATTCTAGCAATTACATCTAGTTTGGACCCTATAAATAAGTTAGAATGTGTGGAGCACTATTTTAACATAATTTATGGTGATGACGCATCTGTTGAAATTGAAAGGATTAAAAGATTATTATATGATCTTCTTCATGAGTACCGAGATAAAGTAAGCAGAGATTCTTTTCATTTTTATTCTAGTTATGATGGTGTGTCACTTGGGAAATGACAAGCTAGAAGTGATTCTTTCGGTAGTGGTGATGAAGGTGATACATGGACCCAAATTAAGAAGAATAAGAAAAAGAAGGTAAATGTGAGATGTGAGATGTGAGTTAGACCATTGTCTTGAGGATGATGGAGTAATGCATTTGACGTGCTTCATTATTGGAAATTTGATTTGAAATATCCAACTTTGAGAAAAATAGCTAAGGATATTTTAGGCATTCCTGCATCAATAGTGGCCTCTGAGAGCGCTTTTAGTATGGGTGGAAGGATAGTGAGTCCCCATCGTTCGAGCCTTCATGCTGACACAGTGGAGGCACTTATGTGTATTCAAAATTAGATCCATGGACATTATGCATGTAAATATACTTTACTTTACTATACATGACCTTTACTTTATTATGTAGAATAGTCTGTTAATGTGATTATTTAGAATCATACATAGGAATTTTAATATTCTAATTTTGAATTTTCGGATGTCTTATTTGATGTATGATTTCAGAAGCTTCTATTGAGAATGCACATGCATGTGCTACTATCTTGGAGGATTTTGATGTGGAAGACGAGGGAAGTTCATCAAGTGTAGTGCTTGATGCAGATGCTAACTCGGTAAATATTCTTATTCTCTTAATTCTGACTTTTATCCCAATGAAAATATGTCTACTTTTTTAATACTGGTTTATCCCTATTGATACTAGGATGGAGAGGACTTTTGAGAAGTGATAGTTTGTTGATGAAGATTTGAAGATTATATTTGGTGTACAAGACTATACATGATGCATCTATTCACTTGAAAAATGTATAACAAACATAGTGCACAAGACTATATAAACTGTGTTCCATTTTGTTTTTGTTTGAATTTGATGAAAATTTATTGTTTATGTTTTGGTTTCTATGAATGTTTGAGTATAAATGTTTGGTTTCTATGAATGTTAGAAGAATTTGAGCTTAGGATGTAAAAATAGGTTTTGTTCATAGTATTATCCATTTCTCATCCGCTCCACCCGCGGATGATGGATGGAACGGATATGGATGAAATTTTTTGTGGGTGATGGATGCTGTGGATGGAGATTTGGACCGCGGGTGATGGGGTGGATGAAGCTCCACCCGACCCATCTCCGATCCATTGCCAGCCCTAATTTAATTATGATTAAAAAACGAATTTCTCTAAGTTTTAAACTTGAGGTTGACAGGATGAAAAAATAGCAAACTATATGTTTTGTTACTTAACTTTTGTTATATTTTTATTTTGATCATTTAATTTAAAAAAATTACCATCTAGCTTTCGTAGTTTGGATTTTGTTGATCCTCCAATGTCTTAACGTTTTTTAAGGTATTGGGATAATTTTTTTTTTTAAAAACCTCGAAAACTTTTCTTAAACCTAGATTTTTGTACTTTTGGTTTGTTGACATTCAATGTTGGCATCAAATTCTAGTGGGCCAATCCATACTTGGGCTCGTCTGCACAATTAGGTATAAGCCCAAAACTCACTCATATTTATAAGGGTAAACTACATGTTTAAGTACCTAAACTTTCAATTTGTTTTCAAAATCATGCGTAACATTTACTTTTTGTTTCATTTTGGTACCCCGCTGTTATTTTTTTGTTTCATTTTAGTACGTAAATTTTTAACGTCGGGGTCCTAAAATGAAACAGAAAGTAAACATTAGGTATGGTTTTGAAAAAGAGAATAAAAATGATAGTTTAGGTATTAAATGTGTGATTTACCCTATTTATAAATAGCTAACCAAAGTCTATTTTATACTTGCATATATTATTTTGTTATTAAAAAATATTTTTTTTAATTTTAATTAATATATTTTTATTAAATTCTTATATATATACAAAGTAAATTATTTTTTCATGCTTACCTTGTTATATTATATATTATTATATTCCATTTGGATTATGAGCTCAAGCCAAGCTCATTTTTTAATAGGTTATTTTTTTCGATATCTATCTTTCTGATATAACATTATTGGTCAATTTTTTTTAATATTTTAGATTATGATTTTGAATCTGAATGAATAGTTTTAATTCTTAAATAAGTTTATAAAAATCTTCGAGAGTAATGTACCGATAATCATCTATAATAAGAAGAAGAAAAATACGAATCAATAAACCTTAACGATTAAAGAATGATTGTTTTATTATTAAAAAGTTGAGGACATTTGAAATAGATACTACCTATAAGCACCCAAGATATGTTTTCCTAACAAGAACATGAAAAAGGATTTGTTTTCCTCACAAGAACGGTTTTTTTGGCCCAATAGGGTAAACAATGTAATTAACTGATTCAATAGGGCATATAGAAGTTTATTTAGGGATCTACGATATTTGTTACAGTAGCTTGGAACTCGTCAGGTTGAGGTGATAAGTTCAAAAAAAATAATTTTTATTCAAATTTTTTATCCTGATGTGATAAAAATTAAAAAAAAATTATATTTTATTGAAACTCATCACCTAACCATGACGAATTCCATGAACACTGTAGAAAATATCGTATATCCCAAAATAAACTTCTGTTTGCCCTATTTTCCTCAATAATTTACCCGTTTGCCCTATTGGGCCAAAAAAACCCTCAAGAACATGATATAATTGGATTCGGGTCGGAGCTTTGGGCCGAACTTCACCCGTTTCAATATACCTCAATTTTTTTGTTTTTCTACTTTTTTGAGTTTAGCCCTTCTAAGTTTATCTCCCAAGCCTGAATGATAATGGAAGTAAATTTACCTTGCAAAGGAGGATTAATATTAGAATCGGTAAAGATTGAAGTTTTAGGCATTTAAATATTCTATTCAATGTCTCGTAGTTACTATTTCAAATAAAAAACATTTTAAATATTAAAATTACCATTTGCAATTTCTTTAGGAGAATCAAATATAGATCTTTTTATATCAATTATTCAATTAATTTTATTTATTTAAAAAATATATTTGGATATTGAAATATGATATCAATTTAGTTAGTTATATTAAAATTATTAAGTTTGTGTCGTTGTCTTTTTTTATTTTTATTGGTTGATAGTGGTATTATTTTTAGTGGTGGTCGTTGACTGTCAATTAGGGGTGACTGTTCGATTGAGTTAAGTCAAGTCGAGTCAAAAAAATTTGAGTTATTAGAGTTGATGAGTCCTATTTTATAACTCGAATTTGATTTGAATTTTTTTCAAGTTTAGTCGGTTTTATAAAATTTGAGTTGAGTCGAGTCAAGTCAAATTTTTTAGTTTCTATTTAAATTTAATTATAAAT